CACGTTTGTTAAAGGCACAAAGAGCTGGTGGTACTGCTGCGTTGGCATGCGTCGAGATGCAACCACATGCAGGTGTGGTTTCAGGCGGTTGCAAGTGCTGTGAGGGAGATTAGGGTGTATCTTTCGGATATGGGCTCAGCTGGCAATATGTTCCTCCGCCCTCATCAAGCAGTGCTATCTAGACCACTAGCTAGCTGCACGGCAGGCCTACTTAGCAGACTATCCAGCTGGCTGCTCATTGACTTAGCAAGTTCATCTTGTTCACGTATATTATATTTGATTAGGAGGCCCTTGTTTTGAGACGTATATTCAAGTAAGCTGGGTCTAGGCATACTCGTTGCGCGCCTAGCAGTAGACCTCCACGGTTCCTTGATGCAACGTGCTTTTATTTTATTGTGATGTCTTGACAGGTGTTTTGGCGCCCTGATGGTGTGTTGTGATGTATAGGTGCCATGTTTGCAATGTGTATTCTGGTCATGCACACACATTTGAGTATGCGCTGCATGATGCACAAGAGCGAAAAGAAGGGCCCCCTGGTCATTGCGAGTTGGTTTGCTGGTATTCGTGTGGTCTATTCTGCTTCAACTAGATAGGACTTTGATCAGCCACGGCTTCGCGCCAACTGGCAAAGACTACCTGACCAGCGGCATCACGGGGGAGCCCATCGAAGCCTACATTTTTTGTTGCCTGGCAGGGTTGTGCAATTCCAGAAAGGCTGGCGTCGGGTGAAGAATTACCGGATAATTGACACAGGGAACAGGGGAACCTTGTGTCATGAGTAGGTTGTGATTATTGGATCATGTTGGGCTCCTTGCAACCACAAGGGGCCTCATATGGCCTCATCATTCACGAAAAAAAAAAAAAAGAGAGAAAAAAAAAACGATGCAGAAAATGTAAGGCGGGCCGATCTACTACCAGAAGTTGAAGCACATGGTGGTCGACCTCGCCTTAGCTTATGCCCTGGCCGAAGCCGGCGATATGAGTAGCAAGTGCAGTGCTGAGTAGTACTCTTGCAGTTGGATGTCGCCGTTCCCCTCCACACCTTGTAACGTTGTAAGATCCCAGAGCTTTTCTTTTCCGAACGGCCGGTGGCCCTGCTATTGAGTGGGAGTCGCTGGCATATGGGCGAGACACGTCAGCTGAGGACAAAATGCACGCTCGCGCCCGCGGGCCGCGAATGCTGCTCACGCGGCAACCCACTGAGGGTCGTGCCAAGGAGGGTGGACTTCGCTTGGGGGTGCCTCGGCTCGGCACCTGCCTTGGACCCGATAGCTATTTGGGCTATTGTGGGCTGTTCAAGGGATTTCACAGCCCCTCAGTAGTGTGGATGGGAGGCATGAGAACCAAGGAAATGGAGCGAGATTGCTTGGTGGCCTACGGTGCCTCCAACCTTCTTTTGGAGCGCCTCATGTTGTCCAGTGACGTTTGCAACCCCACGGTGTGCAGTGCCTTGGTTTCGCAATTCCTGGTCGTCCAAGGGGCCGGAGCGTCGGAATGCTGGCCTGGGAGGCCGTGAGCATTTGGGGACCTTCCACGAGGAATTCGCCTGCAGCGTTTGCTCATCTTTTCAGGGTCGGTGTTCATTGCTGGCATTCTTGTCTAGGACGCCCGCCTGAGAGGCTAGGAAAATGCGCTGAGGGAGGTCAACAAGTATTAAAGAGGGGGGTTAGCAAGTGATCCATGCCTTGCTTCAGTGGCCCTTAGGTGATGCTGAGCGGCATGTGTGGAGCACTGAAGCAGAAATTGTCAGCGCATGCCCTACAGACGCAGAACCACCAGTTCCAGTTGGCAAACATTGAGCTGATATGGGCCAGGTACAGCCCAGGCATAGGGATCCTTTCCTACATTGCGTGTGTGCTGTGAAGAGCCCGAATCGCCGCGCTCAAACCCCCCCCCCCCCCCCACAACTCTGGACCACTGGGTCGTTCTCAAGACTCAAGACTGTCGCGGCTTTCCCCAGGAAAATGCGGCCTGTTCAGTCGGCCGGACTGGTGCAAGCTTTGCGGCAGCGCGGAGTGGGTGACTTCAGTGCGTTTGCCCTATGCTTGCAAGCTGCTGTTCCAAGAGATGCAGGCCATGAACGAAACTCGCCCGGAGATTATATGGGGATGTGTCTCATGCCTTTGGGGTGTTCCGTGGCTTGTGCTACCCGACGTTGTCAAGCTGGCTGTTTGAGCAGGACGTGGCTTGGTGCTGAGGTTTGCTGCAAGCTGCAGTTAGCTGAGCGATGAGCCGGCTAGATAATGCACCGGTGGCGGCGCCGCCACCATGGAAAACAAAGCGGCAGCGTGTCATTCTGCGCAGAAGGGCTTTTGACTCGGTTGCCCAGCTTGTTTCTGAAATCTCAACTCAGCTTGTTGAAGCTGCATGTTGGAATGTGTCATTGCGGCTCCAACACTTTGAGGGCTATTGTTTTTGTACTCGTTGTAGGTTTCGTTTTTAAGGGAAGACTCCGCGGACAGTGTGGTTGACATGACAAAAAGGCCCTACGGGTCGGCCTTCCAAAGCTAGAGCAGATCGCCCGCGGGACCCATACAGCGCATGAATCAATGAGAGCCATTTGTGGCCGGCAGGAGGTTGGCATTCGGCTCACCGACTTCTTGGACACCATCCCCAAGAAGAAGGCCCGAAGCAACCGGCCTAGCGGCCTTCGCAGAGCAACGGCGGGGGAGCCCAACTTGTGGGTCAATATTGCTTGAAAGTAACCCTTCCCACTCGGCAAGAGGGCCAGTCAAGTCGAAGGAGGGTATGAAGCAAATGCACGCAGGGTGGGGCCAGGAACGCTTTGAGGAGCTGGACAATTTCATGAAGACCCTCTCAGAGCAGAAGGCCATGCCTATCCCCCCTCCGAGGTATTGCTAGTTGAGGGTGGTAACCCCATTCCAACCCCTGCAACTAATGTTCCCCTATGTGTGGCGAGCAGGGAACCAAGGCGACCCTCTCAATTGTCGCCTATGGCCGCCGACAATCTTGAAGGGAGCGCCAGCATGGCGCGGCTTTCAATGACCTGCGGAGTTCCTGGTTCCGTGGCCCCAGCCCAAATACGGAGCAGAAGATGGGAATGCTTATGTCCTTTGTGGTTTTGCCCCCTGGTTTGGCGCATGTTTGTGTATTGAAGTCTTGCTGGCCAACCTGCGCGGGGTGCTCATCCCATGTGTGGCGGCCAGGCTGCGCAGCGAGAGCAGGCCAGGAGGGGGCACTGGTTTGGCACAGCTGCAGAATGGTTGCCCGGCGACTTGATTGTGGAGGGTGTGTGTGTGTGTGCGCCGTCAATGTAATCACTCGATAGAATATATGTATACTTATTTGTATGTATGTACACATGCCTGAACTTGTAAGTAATTTGACTGTTTATGTATGGGTTGTTTTGTACATTGATTTGTTCGTGCAGTTCTTCGTGCGGTTGTTCGGCTGTTGCTGATTACTATTATTATAGCTTATGTGCTTTGTTATGATGGTTTTGATTATTTGAGTGAGTGATTGATCGATCGATCGATCGAGTGATTGGTTAGTTGATTCATTTGGTTGATTGATTTATTGGTTGGATTCATTGATTCATTCGATCCACAGATTCGTTGATTGATTGATTGGTTGGTTGGTTGTTTGGTTGATTTATTGATTGTTTTTTTTTTTGAATGATTTATTTGATTGATGGATTGATTGATGAGTTACTTTGAAATTTGTTGATGCATTTCTTATTGATTTTGCTGGTTGGTTGATGGGTTGATGTGGTTGAGTGATGGAGGGATTGATGTGTTTTGACTTGACTTGGTTGATTGATTGATTTACCTATCGATTGATTGGTTGGTTGATTCATTTGGTTGATTGGTTTATTGGTTGGATTCATTGATTCATTCGATCCACTGATTCGTTGATTGATTGATTGGTTGGTTGGTTGTTTGAATGATTTATTGATTGACTTGTTTTTTGTTTGAATGATTTATTTGATTGATGGATTGTTTGATGAGTTACTTTGAAATTTATTGATGCATTTCTTATTGATTTTGTTGGTTGGTTGATGGGTTGATGTGGTTGAGTGATGGAGGGATTGATGTGTTTTGACTTGACTTGGTTGATTGATTGATTTATCTAACGATTGATTGGTTAGTTGATTCATTTGGTTGATTGATTTATTGGTTGGATTCATTGATTCATTCGATCCACTGATTCGTTGATTGATTAATTGGTTGGTTGGTTGTTTGAATGATTTATTTGATTGATGGATTGATTGATGAGTTGCTTTGAAATTTATTGATGCATTTCTTATTGATTTGGTTGGTTGGTTGATGGGTTGATGTGGTTGAGTGATGGAGGGATTGATGTGTTTTGACTTGACTTGGTTGATTGATTGATTGATCTATCGATTGATTGATTGGTTGGTTGCTTGGTTGGTTGCTTAGTTGATTATTTGATTGGTTGATTGATTGAGTTGGTTGGTGGATGGATGGGCGGATGGGCGGATGGGCGAATGGGCGGATGGATGGATGGATGGATGGATGGATGGATGGATGGATGGATGGATGGATGGATGGATGGATGGATGGATGGATGGATGGATGGATGGATTGGCATGATTGATTGATGGATTGAAATGGGCTGAATTGGGTTGGGTTTGTTAATTGGTTGGTTGGTTGGTTGGTTGGTTGATTTGGTTTGATTTATTTTGATTTGATTTGATTTGATTGATTGGTTGATTGATTGATTGTTTGATTGGTTGATTGGATTTGATTGGTTGGTTGATTGATTGGTTGCTTGATTGATTGATTGATTGATTGATTGGTTGGTTGAGGTTGAATGGTTATTCATGCATTCAGTTATTAACTTATTCATTCAGTCAGTCAGTCATTCATTCTTCATTCATTCGATCATTCGATCATCATTCGATCATCATTCGATCATTCGATTCACTGATTCATTGATTGTTTGATGGATTGATGGATTGATAGATTGATTCAATGATTTGATTGCTTGATTTATTTGTTTGTTTGATTTCATTTCATTTGATTGATTTGATTGCTTGGTTGATTGATCGGTTGATTGGGCTTGATTGCTTGCTTGATGGTTGCATGGATTTGGATTAATTAGGATGATTGGGTTAGTCGGATTGGTTGGATTGACAGAGTTGGTTGGATTGGTTGGGTTGGTCGGGTTGGTTGGATGGGTGCTTTGGTTGGATTGATTGGGTTGGTTGGGTTGCGTGGTTTGGTTGGCTTGGTTGCGTCGTTGGTTTTTGTCTGATTTAAGCACATATTTATTGGTGTTTTGTTTGCTCATACATATGGTCATATAATCTGTGTGCATCCATTCTTGTGTTGATGTATTTCTTTGATTGATTTATGGTTTAGGTGTGTTTTTGGTTTTGCTGAGCCCCGGCTACCCACCCAATGGTCACAGGTCAGACGCGTAAGCCCCAGGCTTGGTTTGGATGGGTTTGGGTTGGTCTGAGGTCGATTTGGGGCTAGTTTAGGGCGTGTTTGGGGTGTCCGGTTTGTTGAGGGTTGGTTGCAGGTTGGCGTGTCCCAAGTACGGGGGTGCTGGGGTGCAGGCTCAGGGGCTTCGAGCAGCGGGGTTTGGCGACCCTAGCAGTGGGGGTGCCAGGGTGCAGCATCCGGGGGCATGCCATCCGGTTAGCAATGCACGGCACACATCACCGTCCGCAAAAATGGAGAAAGAGGGACAGAGAGAGAGAGAGAGAGAGATATGCGTGTGTAGGTCTGTGTGAAGCCCAGCCCTGGAGACACACCCTCTTGTGTTTCCAAAAACGGTGAAGGCCCCAATTATGACCTCTCTCGCATGTCCACGGCAGCGCGCGTGAGACATCGTGAGACATAGTGTGGCAGGTCACGCATTCACACGCGTGGTGCGCCTATTGCTGTTTTGGTTTGAGTCAGTCTGTGACCCACCGGTGTAGCAACCCCACATGGGCCACTGCCAATGCCAGGGTGAGAAGAAGAAGATGAGAAGATCCACCCCTGAGCTGCCAGTCCGGCCCCTGAACTGGGGGGAAGCTGATCCTCGTAGGGGATGGAGGTGGCGAAAGACCTTCTGCCCCTTGACGCAACTGTGATGAGAGGGTCACAATTTGTTGATCAAGCTTCATTCCCGTCGTGTCCAAAGCATTCGGAATAGCTTGTCGCTGGATGGCTTAGTATTTGGATGGTGCCCGGCCAGTTCTTTGTCTTGCACCTGTGAGTGCCCCCCTGAGCAAACATGAAAGCGACCTTGCAGGATGGACCCACGCCACTCATGGCCCAGTCTCTGGACATGTGGCACGTGGCTCAAGGCCCTCTTGGGCTGGGAAGGTGCCAGGGATGGCAGATCCCGGGCGGCAGAGGCTTGGCTGCATCGCGGCTCCGCTTCGCATCTCCCAAGGCCCTGGGCTGACCTGAGTCGAACATCATACAATCTGAGACCAGCGTTTCATTTGTAGTTGAGTGACCTTGGCGATGAATGGGCTGGACAGTTCATTGATCGGTTCAACTCGGCAGGTGAGTTCACCTGCATATCAGGGGTAGAGCACAGCTTTCCCACAAAGACTCCAGAGAACTGTATAGCAAAAGCGGGACGGGAAGGAGCCGATAGTAGTTCCAATCATAAGCAAATGTCGATACCCTGCGCAGGGTCTATGCCAACACCCGTTGTATGGTGCAGTGGCTACGCAAAGACACCGACTCTGCCTAGGTTCCCGCGGCGGCGAGCTGCGGTCCTTTTGACCCTTGCCTTCGCTTCGCAGGCATCGGTCTTAGTGGGGGATGTGGTCTCTGCGGTGCCACACCGTTTTGTTCTACGTGAACACGCCCGATCAACGACCTACACGAATCGCACCAGTCATGCTGGTGGCAAGCTTTTTGCGCGATGGGGCCCAATAGGATGGTTGGCATTGGTTTGAAGCGGCCGGTCAGGTGTAAGCACACATTTGCCGAGTTTGAGCGCCAAGTTGCATTCCCATTGCCCAACAACGGCCATATGCTTTGAGTTGCCGCCCCAATCAAGTTGCCAGGAGAAACCTAACCTGCCAACCTAGCTCAAGAAGAAATGTACCTAAGGGCCTAGCGCTTAGTCCAGGCCTTTGTGAACCTTGCGCCCTTGCGCCGGCGCACGTGCACATGCTGCCGGGCTGGTGAGGAGTGGCCGCTTGGAAGGTGAAGCTGTCACTTGGGCCAAGGGGTTCTTTGGAGCCTGGTGTCATTGACTTGGAGTAGGCCATGCCCTCATACCGAGGCCGGAATAAAGGCACTAAAGCCAGGGGATAGACATTTTGAAGCAAGCTTATGTGCGATATGCAAAGTGTCAACACCAGTCAAGGAGCTATGGCATGCCACTGCATAGGCCTGTGTCTGATATGCAAACTGTCAACAGTCAGTCAAGGGGCTATGGCATGCCACTGGATAGGTCATGCAAACCAAGTTTACTGGTTTGCATAGACATAAACTTGCCTGGCTCTTCTCTATCTCTATGTGTAAGCCCACTGCTCTGACAGAGCGCGAGACATCTAAAAGTCGTTTCGGAGTGCTTTGAATGCTTGAATGCCCCAACCGGGGTTATGTGGTGAGCGAGGTACCCGCCACGCATCAGGATGAGGGACCTGGAGGCAGCTGAAGGGGGGGAGGTTTTGTGTTGGCCCGGGGCGAGTGTTGGTGCCGCTTGTTGGCAGTTTATCTTTCAGCAGTTGGCAGGGAGCATACACCCAGTGTTCTTTGATTCGAGATCGGAACGCGTCACACTCTCAAACCACTCGCCAAGGGAAGCTGCTCCAGTAGAACAGTTTGCAAGTTTACAAGGGGCACTAGGAGACAGAAAGGCAGGCAGCAATGATGAGGCAGCTGGTTGACCTTTGAATTTGGTAGTTTTCACTGGTAACCTGCCTGGCGCCTGACAGCCAAGAGGCGGAGTGACATCGTGTGAACCCAACACTGAACTTAGCACGGGCAGGACTGGTTTGCGGTTGTTCCCTGCTAAGATTTCGTATGTAGAGCCCGCAAACCATTGTCAACAACTCTCACTGCATGGAGTGCATAGGAGACCTGATAGTAAATGCATTGCAGCATATTGTAGCTTTCTGTGTGGCAGCTCGGTAGGTCGTATCGGGACTGTTAAATTAGAATGGCTTGGAGCTTTTTGTTGGTTGCGTTGTGCGACCACAGCGTAATGGCAAGAGTCCGTTGGCATTATTTTCTTTCGAATATGCCCAGCCTGTGCCATGTTGAGCAGGGGCCCAAAAAGGCCGATGTGTGATTTTGGTTCGGTACTTGAAGTCCCACGATTTGAGCGGCCGTGTCTCGCACTAGGTTGGCATGGAGCTGCGGGGGAGGCGTGGGAAATACTTCCAGAATGGCTGCTCGGTGGGAATGGTAGATGATGGAAACCCAGAGGGCTCTGCTGCGGGCCTGACAAGAGCACAGGGAGGGGGGGGTGCCTATCTCTTGATTAATCCGTTGGAATTCCATGCGAGGGCAAGTGATTCAGAGTTCACCTGACTTGCAGTCACTACAGATGGCTAGTTGCGAGGAATTATATTACCATGTTTGGAGGGCCGAGGTCTCAACGCCATTGTGCAGGTTTGAGACCTTGACATGCTTTGGAAGAGGCAAGCGCCCTTGGCCCAGGTGTTTTCATTGATGTCGGTGCCGAGCGTGACGGCTACTTGCACGTCAATGAATGGCAAGAGGAGGGCTTTCCGCAGGAGCAGATATTTGCTCGAAACGTCCCAGCCAGCTGGCAGCAAGTGCTGATTGCTTCATTGCTTGCAACCGGGAGGGGGGTTTTGCAGTGGATTGGGACGCGGTTTGGCTTTTGTGCCTTCAGCTTTTTGGTGCCTGCAGCTTTCCTGAGCCATCCTGAGCCCTAGGTTGACGTGCGAGTCCTCAGCATCGACGATGCAAAGTGGAGTTTTAGCTTGACACGCCTTCCAGGCAGTTTTCCACGTCATACTTCCGGCCAGTCAGGGGTGCTCACATTCATTTCCACATCCAGTTGTTTCTGATCCTGAGCTGGGATGCGAAGGCCACCCTTGGATCATTGTGTTCAGAGCGGCGATGCTCTACATTCCCCGAAAGGGGGGTGGAGAATTTCCTCAGCCAATGTGTCCGGCTGTGCCAGGCTCGTTGGAGCGGCCTCCTGGGTTCAAGGCTCCAAAGATGGAGGCCGGCCTATCCGGCATTGGGTGGGGCCTGGGGCATCGCGTGTTTGCTGACAGGACCCCTACGACCCTACGACCCTATCTGACAAACACGCGATCCTGACTCAGGTGTTTGCCTGCATGCTTGCTTGTCGCACTTGTACCCGACACTTGCGCAGCCAACATGTGACTTTTTTTGGGCCTATTGACTCAGTGGCCGGTAGTCTCTGGGGAAATCTAGTTTGGCCTAGCACAAAAATGCTTAACAGGCGGTGCCTTCACGCCAGCGCTGCAAGGGCTAAGTTTCAAGAGGCTCAGAAAAGTTATACACCCCATGCACACAACCAAAAACATAATACACACACTGGGGAAGCTCAAGTCGTAATCAAACATCAAGCAGGCAAACTAAGTTGCCAAGCGCTCACAGGTTCTCTGCAGCAAAGAGGTTTTTGGCTTAGCCTCATGCCATTCGACGACACACACCAATATTCAAGGGGCAAAGAGGGGACCCTTTTAGTTGGGGCAAGTCCTCCAGTTGCCCACGACGGGGCCCAAGAGCGACATTCAAGCAGTTTCGTTTCCACGGGAAGCATGTGGGGCCTTCGTTGGCAGCGGCCCGACATGCTTCTTCGGCTGCCCCGTGCAAGAGATATCACACACGCAGACACATCTGTGTCTCAGGAAGTGTTGAGCCCCACACACACACACACACACACACACACACACACACACACACACACACACACATGCGCGCAAGGCAAGCCTTCAGGGAGGCAGGCGCGTGCAATCAGGCGTGCTTGCACGCACATATGCCCACGCACACAGCACACCCAGCACACACCACATACACACACACACAGCTACACCTAATATATTCGCACCTTGTTAGCCTGCTGAGCCAACATTCCCGAAACGCACTGTTGCTCACATCAAGGACTCCGACATTGAGGCCTTTGACAAGCTGGAAGCAGATGACTTGATAGATGCCGAGGTGGTGCGTTTGGCGCTGTTCGGGATATTTGCCGCTTGACAATTTTTGCGGCGGACCGACACGCTCATTTCGCTTGGGGGAAGCTGTTCCAGCGTGTTTCAAAAACGTTTTGAAGGAGGCCTTTTTTCACATTTCCTTAATTTTGCAATTCATAAGATGTTTGTCCGGGAAACGGACTGTTTTTGCCTGCCGGGCTGGATCATCAGACTTCCAATGTTGAGTTGCGCACTGCCCCTGCACAGCCGGCGGTCAATTCATGCCATGTTTTCATGTCTTTAGTGAGCAACTGGATGGCAAGTGAGACACGTTCCTTCCAATTCGCTGTGAGCCCCAGAAGCCTCAGCAGGCAGACCATGCAAGGTTCGTCATAAAGGACATTTCTGGGCAGCCCCGTGCTTCAGATCGGGCAATGACTTTGATTCCCCAGGTGCTTAAGAATCCCTTTGCGGGCTAAAGCTGTGCTCTCACTATCTTGTTTTGGTTTCTCTGAGGTCAAGGTGCAGGTGGAGGGCAGCCAAATGCTGGAGGGCCTGCTGCACAAGAGCAAGATGTCCCAGGACTTCAAGGATATGGTGGGGTACTTACCATGCGCAGGTCAGTCCACATAGTTGAGGCCTTACCTCCATCAATGAATGACCCCCCTTCGTTACCAGTGCTAGAAGGCGGTACTTGGGGCTGTTGTTCCATACCGATGGTGGACATAGTTGCTACCATTTATCGGCATTTGGGCAGAGTTGCTCCCAATTTATTCCGATTTTGGGACAGGATTACCACGCATGTTGGGCAGAGTCACTACCCAAAGTGGTGGCGAAACTGACAAGTTTGTTTGACTTGCGTCCAAATATAGTAAAGCCTCGTGTCCATGGTTTTTGGTATTTTTCGGGTGGGTGCCTGTGCGGCTTCTTTGAAGGTGCGGTGGACCTTGAGAACGGTGCCAGTGCGAACTTTCAACAGCAGTGAGTCTGCAAGCCGAATGGTTGCGTGAATGCGTCAATTCGGATGAGCCTGTTTGCTCATGCTGTGGAGTTGTTGGCTGTGCCAGCGGCTGTCGTCGAGCTTGGGCCAGACTGAAATTGGAGGCTGAGCTGCTGAGCTTTCCTGCTGAGGTGCGCCTTGGCATGCCGATCAAGGTGAAGCTTCTGAAAGAGCAGCGCTGGAAGGAACAGAGGAAGCTGTTTCTCGCTAGCCCAGAGTACGGCACTTCATGAGCTGTTTGACCAATGGTGTTAGCAGTTCTGATCCAGAGTTAAGCGTGGTATTAGTTTGCTTTTCCCTCCGCCTCCCCTAGAATGGCGCCCAGTGGTCAAGCTTCGGCTCGCAGACGTTTCAGGGCGTGGGTGAACAGCAGCGCCTTCGGTGTAGGGTGGGCCTTCGGCCGAAGGCTGAACGGCCCTAGAGGACGCTCAGCATCGGCGCGCTGGAGAACAGAGCGTGCACGGAATCAGCAAGACTTCAGACAAAGGATTGCCTTTTCAAGAGTAGGACATCAACCGCATCAGTCAAACTCAACATGACATGTTGCCTCGTGGCATCCATGGTGGTATTCAAAATCAGGGGGCTGGCTGCAGCATGATGACCTACCAGATGCATCGTAGAGCGTCCTAAGGAGCGGCCATTCCACGTGCTGTCAACTCTCCATGGCAGTGCCAGCTATTCCTTTGGCAAGCCCGGTGCTCGGCTGACAGAGGCGCTGCAGTGAGTGAGGAAACTGGCGTTCCGTGCGTTCCTGTGTCAAAAGTGTCCCTGAAGCCATTTTGGCGCAAGCCCTTCCATTCGCTGTCCTCGCTGGATTTGCTCTCCTTCGCCATGGCTCCTGCGCGCAAGGGCACCAAGCGCGCCGCGCAGTTTGCTGTGGAGGAGCCGTTGCACAAGAAGTTGGCGCCGGTGCTGAAGAAGCAGGGCGTGACCCAGGCCTCCTTCAAGCAGATGGTGGAGCTGCTCGAGCATCCGCTGACTCAGCTGCCCGAGGAGTGCAAGAAGATGCTGCTCGCCATGCTGCCGCAGAGCCTGTGCGTGCCGTCCGACTGCCGTGAGGATGTGCAGAATCTGGGTGTGACCATGATGGCAGAGGTCGTTGCTTCCGTTGAGTCCAAGATCCGGGAGGCTGTGGAATCGGGGGAGGCCAACGTGCAGGCGGTGGAGTCCTCCAAGGGCAGCTGGAGGGTGCCATGGGTCAGGCGGAGCAGCACCTCAAGGAGGCTCAGGATGCGGTGGCTCTTCGGGAGGCCGACCTGCAGAGCAGCTCCCAGGCAGTCGTTGCTGCTAAAGCCAACCTTGCCAAGAAGGAGGAGGAGCAGCGCTCCGGGGACTCGCAGGCTGTCGCCGCGGAGGCGGAGCAGGCGGAGACTGCAGAGGCGTTCTCCTCCAGCTTCAGGACTCTCAAGGAGGGCAGCTGGGAAACCTCCCCCAACGAGCACGTCCAGGCACTGGCGCCTGTCTTAAGCAAGCTGCCCATGGATGAGTCCTTGAAGACCGCGGCACCGCCCGTGCTCATGCAGACGCCATCGTCGCGGGGGGTTTTCGATGCCACGGTGTTGCAGCAGCTGGAGAAGAGTTTCGAGGACCGTTTGGCGCAGCTGACGGCACTGCTGCAGTCCGAGGAGCCCCAGCGCCAGGCCCGGGCAGAGGCGTGCCGGGAGGCCAAGGCACAGCTGGAGGAGGCTGAGGAGAAGCAGAAGGAGTGCTCCTCCAACGTCCTGGCAGCGAAGCATCGCCAGAAGGAGGCGGCCAGCGGTCTCAAGGCCGCGGAGGAGGCGCTCGCGCAGTTCGAGCCCAACTTGACGGCAGCGATGGAGCTGAGGGACGAGAAGCAGAGGGAGCTGGAGGCGTTCGTCCAGGGCGCCATGCACTGTTTCACCGAGCTCAAGGATCGCCTCTCCGCGAAGAGGCTCCGCGAGCTCGCCGTGGAGGCGAAGGCTGAGGCGAAGGCCAAGGCGGAGGCAGAAGCGGCTGAGAAGGCAAGGATCGAGGCAGAAGCAGCCGAGAAAGCAAGGATCGAGGCAGAAGCGGCGGAGAAGGCAAGGATCGAGGCAGAAGCGGCCGAGAAAGCAAGGATCGAGGCAGAAGCGGCGGAGAAGGCAAGGATCGAGGCAGAAGCGGCCGAGAAAGCAAGGATCGAGGCAGCCGAAAAGGCGAAGCTGGAAACGGCTGAGAAGGAGACGACTCAGGTGGAAGCTGCGCAGGAGACAGAGGCTGCGCCGGAGACTGCGCAGACTGCGCCGGAGGTGCCGGAGCAGATGGAGGTTCAGCCCGAGGCCGCGGCTGCGCCCATGGAGGCCTAATCCTTCTCATAGATTCGGGATCATTCTGGCTGAATTCACCACCAGGTGGCTGCAGAAAGTCCGGCAGGATGTCACCTGGCAGTGGGGATGTGCCGGTGGCGGGGCCCTGAGCTCCAAGTCTGAGCCAGGGATGCTGGACAATTTATGTGAGCCTAATTTGAGCGCCAGATGCAACTTTGTACCTTTGTGACAGTGGAGAACACCATCCCGGCAGGAGAATGGCATAAAATTTGAGGCTTGGGTGCAGGTTGCCTGATGGTCGCACGCTGTTTCTGAGCCACTGGCCGTATGGCCCCAGCAATGGGTTTCCCGCACTTCCGTCCATGCAACACTCATGAAGGGGGGGAAACACTTTTTGGTGCTGCGACCGCGGTGGCCTTGGCGGCAGTTCAGGCCGGTGCACAAGAAGGGGAAGTTCAAGGCCAGCATCGCCACAGGACCTTTGGGCCATGAAGACACTGCAAGGGAAACTCGCCATGGAAGTTCCCAATCAGACTGACGTTTTGAGGATTGCTTTTGCAACAAGCATAGATTCCAATCAATCAACACTGGGCAGAAGAGGACTGTTTTTGGACTGAGCTTGGTTCCCAGCGCTGGCACCCCGGGAAGTAGGTCGGCACTGTGGGCAGCATTGGGCAGCCGAGTGCATTTGTACAAATGAAGAAATAGGCGAGCGAAGTCGCGGGGCCATGACCCGGGCCTTGTAGGGGGCTATTGTTGGAAGATGTTGGAAGCATGGTCTCTCAGGGATGACATGGGATTGACTGTGTTGAGCGGCACCTCTTTGCCTTTTGGCACAGCGGGATCTGATTTCCAAGAGGTCTGTTTTCGGCCAGATACCTGTGCTCCAAGTCCGGGATGCGGACTACGGGAGATCAGAGCATGGACCTTGGCATTTGGCGAGTCGTCGTTGGGGGACGTCTCGTTCTGGGGTTCTGGGCAACCCGGATGTGGACTGATGGGAGCCTTGGCCTAGATCGCAGGTCGAGGCTGGGACCGGCATCAGGTTCAAAGCACTTGCGTTGGGCTCCAGGAATTCACTGAACCTTTGCGGAACCTAGCAAAGCATGACAACAGCCGCGGTTCAACCCACAGACTGCAGTTTCAAGCAGTCACCGGCACATCTGCAACTGGCTTGGCAGCACTGGAGAAGCCTTGGAGCACCGACTTTCTCCACCCTAAGGCAAGCCACATTCAGAGTCTCACGGCTTTCGCGCGCCATAGCAGCCATGCGGAGTCAGCGGATTTGGCGTGGGCTGCTGTTGCTGGTGCTCCGCCATGGATTGGCTGCTTTGTGAGACCCATTTGTTGGCATCGTTTGTTGACATACATCAGTGGTGTAGCCACTAATTCCAGCTGGCCGCTTTGGTCAACAACTGAGGGTCTCAATGTTGTGCACGGTCGGTTTGTGCTTGGCCTCCACTTTGGATGGGCCATCAGGGTTTCAGTGGAGCCTGGCCGTGCAACCCAAACACGAAGCCTAGGCACTGTGCCGGCTGGGCCTTCGTGCTTTCGTTCCTCCTCCTGCTGTGCCTCAACTGCAGTCGCCAGCAAGTCCACTTAGTGGAAAGCGGCCAGTTGTGGTTTGCTTTCGGTTCCTGTGCTGGAGCAGCACCGGCCCCACTTCAAAACAAAATGAGGTGGCCTCACATTGTGATGTTTCAACGGGCGGGTCAGATTTTTGAGTCGCTGCAGTGCGCTGTCAGTTTTTGCTGGGGCATGCACACTTCCTGGCAGAAACACATCAGATTCACAAGATGCCTATTCACATGTAATGCAGCCAAGGATGGCAAAGGTAGCAGCGTACGGCGGAGAGCAACGGCAACACAAGACCCTCCATCCAATACCATGCTGGTGGAGGCTCGGGGGTCGGGAGGGGTGGGCGCCTTTGCATTGTGGTCAGTGAACAGGCGGGTTGTCGCCGCTGCTATGAGTCTCGTGCCGCTAATAAAAATCAAGAACAGCAGCTGCTGAAGTGTGGGCTGCAAGTTCATTTCACCAAATATCCCAAGAGGGAGCGAGGCGTGGTCTTTGAACAGCTCATGGAGCGTCATGTTGCTGTGTAGCTTACCGTGTTTATGGCTGGCCTACCGCTTAAATCCCGAAAGGGGCAAGCCCCTATGCTTCCTCGACTATTCTTTAAATAGCCTCGACCATTTAAAAAAAACGAAAGGCTATAAAAGTAATGCCCCTCGACCATTAAAGTAGGTCTAGACAAACTTGGCCAACTTGAGACGGCTGGCTCCTGACATCCCCGCGCGCTTCTGATAGTGAGAGGTTGAAGAACTTTATTGCTGCCTTTGTGAAATAAGCTAAGTATGTTTTAAAGTCGCTGCATCCCGTTGCAATCACACGCCGTCACCATGCTGTGTCAATTTGGCTTGTCACTCACATGCCCGTGCGTGCTTTTCCGCTTCTTGTCCACAGCTCCACAGAGTCTGATCGCGTGTCGTTTGTTGATTGTTTAATCGATTTCGAAAGAAAATGAAGCGTGGACAAACCATGAACAAACCGTGGAAAGTACGTTTTTTAGCGTGACAAGTACATTTAAAAGCGTGGAAAGTACATTTAAAAGCGTGGACAACCATACTCCCAGGAGCCCACAACGCATGCCTGATCGGCAGCGATACCCCGAAGCCACTAAGTTTGCAGCATTTTTGAAAAAGCCGGACTTCAGTACCAACATGCGAAGAATCTATGCGTGCATATACAGTAGGCGGGACACCTGGCGATTTTGAAAAGTGATGTGACCATACAACGGGCAAGCCGGGGAATGAGTGGCTTGGGCGCAGTCACTTGCAGCTGGGAGGATGAGGGCGGCGTGACTGTCAGTGACCTGACCCTAAGCAATTCTTGGGCAACAAACACCGTGATTTCTTGGATATTCAGGGCCAGGCGCAAAAAACGGTCTTTCGGCAAAAAACAGTCTAGCGACCTCGACCATTCTTTTATGGCCTTTGGAAGCCTAGGGAAGCCCCTACACACAAGTTGCTGTAAGGGGTTTGGTGTTCGGTCTCCGGAGCCCTGCCGCTTAGGTGGAGGAGGGCTTGGAAGTCGCCGCCAAGGACTACTTGGCTGATCTGAAGAAGGTCACGGGGCAGCATAGAGATGCCGTTGCTCTCAAAAACCGGGGAACAAGCCGGGAAAAAATGAAACGATCCCACTGGTGTTTGGGTTTTCCCGATTCGGCTGCACAAGGCTTCACAAGCAGAGCTTATTTCTTCATTGTTTTTGATAGGCGCACGGCCAGCGACCGCTGCGTGTACAAAAGTCATACCATGAGATTGCATGCCCGTAGGCAACACAGACAACATCATGCCACCACTGCTTCTTCAGGTGTAAGGTTAACTGATGCTGATCTCAATGCATGTAAACCAGTTATGAGTCATGAGGCATGGCAAAACCCGTGGGGTCGTGCATCTGAGGAGATGACCACCGCCTTGCGGGTTCGCAACGAGTGGCTGCAGCTGCACATTTGTTTAGGGAATTGTCGCGGTCATGTAAGGTTCATCCGGGTCCTCCATTTGCAAGGGACATGAGGGACTCTCCAAATTTCCCCCACACAAAACTTTAATCATCTAGAGGGCATAGCCAATGTTGACCATGGCACATGCCGAAAGGTCCAGAAACCAAGCCTCCATGCTAGGCACTGCCGAATCGGGCGCATTTTAGCGTGACACCGCAAATCCAAATAAACGAAGCAAACCCTTACCGCAGGCCTGCAGGCGCGGCCGAGCGCCGTTTTTGGCAAATCAGTACACATGATCAGTTGCATATGGTCTCATTTGTATGCATGTGCATGCGCATGCGTGCGCGTGTCTCTCTGTCTTTGTGTCTCTTTCTGCCTTTGTGTGTCTGTGTTTCTGTGTGTCTGTGTGCCTGTGTGTGTGTGAGCGTTTGTTTGTTTGCGCTTGCGTATGCGTATGTCTGTATTTGTGTGCGCTGAGTTCTTTGTTTTGATCGAGGACCAGCATGGTGAGCATCCTGAACCATTTCGGGCCCAGATCGGAAGACGCGTGGCTGGCATCTCTGCTGATGCAGGCGCTCAAGGACCTTTTGCCAGGCATGTCTGGCGCCGATCTCGGCTTCCTAGTGCCGCTTTGCTGCAAGCGGTGCATGTGAAGTGGCACCTGGCTGGTTCCTTCTTAGCTCCAGTGGCCGGGCCCCCTCAAGACACATAAACAACAGAAGTGCTCCTTTCCACAGCCAATGCACTTGGGTCTCACGCCTGGGAACATTGCGCAAGCTACTTGATTGAAGTGGTCGTCCACCTGGCCCCTGTCTCACCAACTGCTGTCGCGGTGGATGCACTTTGTCCCCACCAAGGATGAATATGGCATATTCGGAGATTCGTGCAGCAACTCGGGTTGCAACGCATGGAAGACCAAACCCTTCCAAGCCGAGCCAACCAAATCCAATTGGTCTTGTGCAACTGGGGCAACAACTCATGTATTGGGAATTTGCTCAATTCCGAAATTTCAAACCAAGAGTTGCAAGGTTGCAGCCTTCCATGCCCCAAATAATTCATGTCAACCGTGGCATGTGTGACTTGTTGGTTATGGCAAGTTTTCAGCACGCTACGGGTTCATCCCTTCCTATTTTCCTTAAACGGGGCAAGGCGTTCATGTCGGGACGGGGGCATTTTTGCAAGCGCCATGTGCATTTCACCATGGACCGACCATGGATCATGTTATGGGTTTCTTTAGGTTATGGCAAGCAGCAGTTGTCCAGCCTTCCTTTCGATTGGTTTGGTGATGTTTGTGCACTGACATTTTTTCGCCAAGCACTCAGCTGTCAGCTGGCAGGAGATCGAGACAAAAACGGTGACCTTGAGTTGTTCTGGCCGGCTTCAACACAAGTTAACTGCAAGGTGAAACAACTGCCTTGAACGCTATGTGGACTTCTTGTTGAACAAGGTCCCGGCGATTCTTCAAGCACACCCGTGTTTGGGCTCCATATATATATATATTATATGTATGTGTGTGTGTGTGTGTGTGTCTTGTTTTCGGGCACTCAAACAAAATGGGGGTTTTCCTCTTGGTTTCTCTTCCTAGTCGCCACCAAAACACGAGGGGACGGACCTGGGCACCAGCCCCTTCCCGCGGAAGCGAGGCGCCGGTGTGGCACGAGCTGGCGGAGGCCGCCATCGACGCGGGCCTGGTGGAGACCTACCCGCGGACCTTGGCGGAGATGGCCTTCGGCTTCGCCCGGGGTCTCGGTGGGGTGGGGGGTGGGAGGTGGGGGGGTGCGGTGGGGTGGGGGTGGGGGGGGGGTGCGGTGGGGTGGGGGTAGGGGTGGGAGGGGGAGGTTGCGTGAAGGCAGAAAGAAGTGGGGAATGGTAGGGGAAGGTGGATTTCTGGGGCACAGCTTTTTTACGGGTCAAGGTTTACTGAAATGCTTGCTAGCCCCACCCCGGAAACCTTGGATTGAGAGGGGTTACCAAACTAGAGTGGAGACTAGAATTGACCAATCTTTGAGTTGAAGGCGAATCGCCTCCTGGTCAACAGCACCTTCGCTTTTGGGGAAAACTGTGCTTCAGGCTTTCTGGTTTCGCTGGTTTGGGTCTTGTGGTGTGTGGGACGTGGTGTTATATTTTTTTGGGTTGGGTTTTCAGGTGTTTGGTGTTCCTTTCCAGGGGAGAGGGGATCTAGTTGCTGCCGGAGCCAAACCAAATGGCATGTATCTTCGTATGCGTACCCATGTGCATGCAAACCCTTCAAAGGCTAGTTCATAAAGCGTATTTTCGGGGAGAAAGGGTTGCCATGGGCACCTGCCAGAGGAATGTAGCGGATCTACGCTGAGGCCTGGGTGCAGTGGCAGCAGCCAGATCTCTTCGCAGTGCTCCAGGTAGCGATGAAATCATGCAAATCGCGCCCTGGA